CGTGATCCTGGACGGGATCCAGGACGGGATCCACTTCCACAACTTCCTCCCGGACTGCCCGGACGAGAGCCTGGTCTAGAGCCTGGACGGGATCCGGGGCGAGATCCACTGCCACAGCTTCCTCCCGGACTGCCCGGACGGGAACCTGGTCGTGATCCTGGACGGGATCCTCCACTACTTCCACCGGGGCTGCCTGGTCGAGAGCCTGGACGGGATCCACTGCCGCAGCTTCCACCCGGACTGCCTGGACGGGATCCAGGGCGGGATCCACTTCCATGACTGCCGCCTGGACTGCCGGGACGAGAGCCGGGACGAGATCCACTTCCACAACTTCCTCCAGGACTGCCCGGACGGGAACCTGGACGGGATCCTGGACGGGATCCACCTCCACTACTTCCACCGGGGCTACCAGGGCGAGAGCCTGGGCGAGATCCGGGGCGTGATCCACTTCCACAGCTTCCACCCGGACTGCCTGGACGAGAGCCTGGTCGTGATCCACTTCCATGACTGCCGCCTGGACTGCCTGGTCGTGAGCCTGGACGGGATCCACTGCCACAGCTTCCACCCGGACTGCCTGGACGGGAACCTGGTCGAGATCCACCTCCACTACTTCCACCGGGGCTGCCTGGTCGGGAGCCTGGACGAGACCCGGGGCGAGAACCACTTCCGCAGCTTCCACCCGGACTGCCTGGCCTGGAACCTGGTCGTGATCCACTTCCATGACTGCCGCCTGGACTACCGGGACGAGAGCCTGGTCGAGATCCACTGCCACAGCTTCCACCGGGACTGCCTGGACGGGAACCTGGACGGGATCCACTTCCATGACTGCCGCCTGGACTGCCTGGCCTGGAGCCTGGACGGGAACCAGGCTGTGAGCCTCCGTTGCAGCTGTTTGATGGGGTTGGCGGTCGTGGGTCCGGGTCGACACCACACTCACCAGGATCTGGTCGGACAGGGTCTGGTCGAATTGGCTCTGGGCAAATAACATCTGGTCGGATGGGACTCACGCCTGGGTTGATCGGGCCGCATTCAGTTGGGTCCGGTCCTACTGGACCAGGGTCGGGGTTGGTGACCGGTCTAGTCGGCTCTGTTATGGTGGGATTTGTCCCACCATTACATTCTATAGGGTTTTGTCCACCGAAACTGTCAGGAGGTATGTCTTGATAGGCTGGATTGTTGAAGTGAATGTCTCCATTCGTTCCCATCTCTACGTCAACCAGGTTCGTTGCTGATCCCAAAGCAGCAGATGTAAGCCTGGAGGAACAGAGTAACATTAGGGTTAATATTCAATAATGAGCAACTGTCATTATGTCGACGTATCATAGGTTTCACTATATAACCCGTTCGGGAGATTTTCTAAGACAAAGATGTAAACCATACGTTCTGCAGTTAAAGTACGAAACCCTGGCCCCATTCTCTGCCGAATGCTTTCTTTTTCCACACACCAAACCACACCTTCTAAGGATAATCGGTTATAGAGAGTGTTGCTTTCTAGACACGCAGTGTTGTCAGCTAGCTAGTGAAGCAGTTGCGTGCAAGATTGACAACATGCAGCACATGCAACGTCGGACAACAAGAGAAACATACGCGTACTTTCCCGTTTCCACCTTGATGGCGTGTATGGTCACGCCGATGAAGAAGACCCCGGCGGCGCTCGTCACGGTGACTAGTGCGATCTCCCACGTCTCCATTGCCGGGGCCTCGTTGTCTTTTGGTGTCTCCTCTGGTCCCTGGTCGCCCACCTGTTCCACTTGTATCCCGGTGCCCAAGGAAGCTTCTATAGCCAGCTGCAATGCAGGAAACAAAGGGGAAATGTTACATGTTGACAGTATTGCATACTAGCGCCATTTACCAATAACAATAAATGCTAGGCGAATCTAGTGATGGTAATCTTTTGGCATTTGATGTTTTAGGCTACCATTCGCAGGCGTATTTATCATACTCGATCACTATACAGCATGTAGCTTATATTACAAATGTAAATATGACGCTAGTGAAGCTTCTTCAGTCACTCTTTGTGCACAAACCTACCTGGTTGTCTAAGATTGCGGCTTCAAGATTCTCAGCGGGCACAACAGACGTGACGTTGTCGAATGGCGTTTCCACATACAGCTGGACATCAACACCGTCTGGTGTCTCGATAATTTCTCCGATGATCACGTCTTGTGGTCTAATATGTGCGAGAAGATTAAAAAAGCCATTTAAAACATCAATGCATTTCGAACGCTATCAGTAAGGATGCTACGAAGAATATACCAATAAATGAATATCTCTAGTAATCATTTCCTGGGAAGACATGTCTTTCTGTAATTTCACAATTGTTTAACACTTCGTTACTTTTCAGGCGTTTCAGTTACAGATATGTACCCTTTCATGTTCTCTTTGTAGATGTTGCATCTACATTATTAGTTAGCAAGTATATTGTACAGTCGTAAGATACGTAGACTAGTTACCTGAAAGGATGAGTAATGTTTTCGGGGAGTTGACAGGTGCTATTTTCGTGGGTACAGAACTCGTTCATTACGTCAGCAACGATGACTTGTAGTGCCGTGAAATTCACCTGAAACATTATTCAACACGAAATCAGAGATTTCAAACTGACGGAAAGTAGATATATAGTTTGCGTTAATGAATTACATCATACAATGCAACTACATCATGGTTTCATACAATTCTGCCGACTACATCCTTGAATCCAGAGCATACAGGGTCAAAACCCTTTCAATCAAGTGAAACCAATTCTCCGCCCACTTACTTCGGAACCCAAACATACAAACCTAGCATAAATTACTGTCACCCAAAACAATACCTCCGTCCAGGAAATAAATATGCACGTGGATGGCCAAGTTATCTTGCAAAGAAAGCGACTAACAGTTTTAGTTTTGTGCTTTTATCTAAGGACATACCGTTCCCTCAGTGGCCTCTTCCAAAGTGATGGTAACGCCACCTTGTTCCATCGGTTTAGGTGGAGTGGTAGGTTTTGGTGGAGTGGTAGGTTTAGGTGGAGTGGTAGGTTTAGGTGGTCGTGTAGGTTCGATTGTTGGTCGTGGTCTGTTTGTTACAATTTCTTCTGTTGTCCACACGTCCACATCGGTAACAGGTGACTGATCTTGAGTGACTGGGGAAGACGTCCAGATTTGCTCTGGAGTAACCGGCACTGGTACTGTTGCGTCTTGAAGAGAATGAGAAAAATGTAAGTGCGGGTAGTGATGATGAACATGTTGTAGTAAGTCAATGGACGTTTTTAGCAGAAAAGAGCAACTCATTGACAATCTGTTCATGGTAGCATTCATAGCAGGCAACCCGAGTTTGTTATCTTTGGTAACTTCGCGGACATATTCGTCGGAAGTCAGTCATCATAGAATGATGAAGAGCCTTGTGAAAGTACTGGCGGCCTACAAGGATCCATGGCCATGACAACCCTTTCCGTAATTAGGCAACTGAATTCTGTACGACCCACGCACGAATTCCCAAGAATGACCTCAGTTTGCAATCGTAAGACGTTCGTACAATCCCTAAGTTCGGGGATCGAAATCGTAAGCAGGTGATATATTTCTTACGTATACGTGCCTGTATTCCGATTGCCAAACTATTTGAGGCTTACTTGAATGGAAGGCCTGAATGTCCAAGTTGAAACCCGTTCCGCTGACGGTAGCGTCACTGTGGAAGACGATCCAGACCTGGGATGCTTCGGCGCTGACGATTGGTAGCACGGGTATGACGTTGCCGGTCAGGAAGGTCACGCATCCGGGGTCCGTACCCCATCCAATCAGAACGTAGTCGAGCTGCCACTCCAGGTCCAGGTGTGTGACGGTGATGTGGAGGATGAAGCCAGGCGGGGGGTTGATGATCCACATGCAGTCCTGGTCTGCGGGGTAAGGGCTGGGGTACAGCGGGGAGGACACTGCTCCGGCCGTGAAGTCATCGCGGATGTCTCCACACGTAGCTGAATGGAAAAAAGCGCACAACTTCAGGAAACCGTACATTGTACAAAATGTAAGATCTTTTTCATAATATCGTAGCTTTACGGAAATCCAAAATTGATCAAGATCAGATAGATCACGGATTATTTCGGCAAAAACTTAAACATGGCAAGCAACTGGATATGATTTTGGAAACAGACGTTTAGCAGGTAGCATCCACTACCTTTTATCTCACTGGTTAGATCTCGATATCAACTGGTAATATTACCTGTTAATTGATGCCATGAGAAATCATTTCGACCGATGTGAATTACTGACAAACGATTTGGGGTTTCGTTCTGTCTTCAGAAAGTGTGATTTATGCTGTAAATAGCAGATATACCTGTGCACTTGGATCCGGGAACGCAGTGGCAGCCATACTCTCCATTTTCGATGCTCCAGACCTGGCCGTTGTGACAAACTGCCGACTCACATACTATCTGATCCCGGCCCACACAGCGACACCTCTGTTGGTTTCCATCTCCCCATTCTTCTCCTTGCTGTAAGTAACCAGTTAAAATGTATTGAAGGTCTGAGGCTAAAGATTGATGGTCGTTTATCTTATTTCTTGCATGCTCGTCCCGTACATGTATATGAACGGCTATGTTGCGCAAATATGACGATGAAGGAAATCGTGTAAGCAAGATGTGATTTCAAACTTCTGGGAAGTATTTTTTGTTTTTTTATGACTTTCAAGTTTCCCCAATTTACTGTGCCTGACCTTTTCTCCTGTCACTTTGCCTGTCAACCTCCTCTCACCCACGGACTGTCAACCTACTACTCTTTGAAGTTTACTCCATTTCCGTGTGTCTGACACAACCGCTAATACCGTTCTCCACACATGTCACGGGGGAGGAGCAAAATGAGAAAGGGAAAACAACATCACAAGACGTGTTACGTACCGGATGGTAGCCGAAGGCGTCCGTGCAGCCACAGTCCTCGTACTGAACGCAGGTGTCCCCGCTGAGAATGTAGCCTTGGTCGCACGCGCAGCCTTCCACACAGGCCTGCGAGCACTGGCTGTTCAGGTTGGTGCAGGTAGCCGGGCAGGGAGAGGTGCAGTTGCTGTAGTGGCTGTTAGGACCGCAACTGACGGCTGAAGAGGGGAGGAAACAGAATTCATGTTACTTCAATGCAGTTTTCTGAATTTGTGACATGATTACCTTCGCCAAGAAGGTTATGTTTTCAGTAGCGTTTGTTTGTCTGTTTGTCTGTCTGTCTGTTTGTGAACAGCATAACTCAAGAAGCTTAATATGTATTGTCATGAAACTTGGTAGGTGGGTAGGTCTTGATGAGACCTAGAAATGATTAGATTCTGGGCCCCCTGGCGGCTTTTGTTGGTACTGCAGCAGAACTTCCGGTTTTGATATCTCGCGATCTGGACATGCTAGGGTGACGAATTTTGGTTGGTAGATAGCTCTTGAGGTGGGGAAGAAGTGACATGAGTTTGGGCCCCCCTAGCAGCTTGTTCTGGAACTGCAGGAGCGTTTCTTGAAAAATCTCCGAAGGTTGATAACTCAAGAACCGGTTGACGGATTGTCATGATTTTTGGTATGTAGGTAGCTGAAGTGATACTTGACATAATCAGATGACAATTATGCAAATCAGGAGTTAATTTGCATAATTAATGAGGACATTCTATAAATCTGCTTCGTTCGATTATAGGACTTTGAAACACTTGTGACATGTAATTGAGAACTAGAAAAACATCTGAGGATATAGATTATGTAAATGAAGACCTAATTTACATAATTAATGGAAAATTGTTATAATTTCATAGTTGTAATTGCTGGGAATTTCATACTTGCCGTATTTGGAAGTTAAGTGAAGGTGAACACCAATGAAGATAATTTATTCACATTATGAACTCATTTGCATAATTTATGAGGAAGTGCTAGAATAGCCTATTTTGTTAAGATAAGGCTGCCATTGGGTAGAGAATATGATCAACTGATGTAATCCATGCAAATGACGCTCTTATTTGCGAAATCAATTATTAAAATTGTATAATTCGTCAACCGCAAGGGTTAACATCATTTGGCGAAGGTATGAGATCGTGGAACTCTTGTTGATAATGTATCGCCGTCCAACTAGGGCAAATCCAAACGTAGCTAGTTGGTGTCTATGATAACATCAAACGTTGGCTAAGTCAGTTGAACAGGTAGAGATGAGCATTTTCTGTAAAATATCTCAAAGCTCCTTTACAGCAGTAATCATCGGAATGCACTTCGACTAAAACTGATTTTAAAAAGTTATGAAAACACCCCTTTTTCAAGTGGGGTAGCCCAAGCTTGTTGACATCACTGCCGCACATGCACATGGAGAATCGGTCTGAAAAATCGGCGGGAACTTCAAGTTTCATAGCCATGATCACCCTCCACGCACGCTCAACAGGGTACGGAGCAGCCTGATAGACCCAAGTACACACACGAACACGAAAAAGGCAAAGGTAAGCCGCGACTGTCTCTTTGAGGGGAACTCCGTGTATGTGAGAGACAATGGGGGAGGGGGGCGGTATATGTCACTGTGATAGATATCTATGAAATGAATGAATGAATCCCGTTCTCACGGCAGTCGGTGAAGTTACGTTCTTACAATCAGCATGTCAAAGTGATGTGACATTTCAAAAAGCACAGCACGAAAGTCTGCCAAGTTCAACGCGACTTCAAAGATAAGCAGTAAATGCCACCGTCACTGTCAATTCAAGGCCGCTGACAACAACATGTCATGTTTGTATAACGACGCCTGTCGTGCTTCTCATGTACTGTACTGCATTCACAAAAGATGGGGTATTAATGACGATGATAATGGGGCAACAAATGAGTTAAGTGGCCCACAATTTGCTTATGTTTATGTAAGAATTGCAAATCCCTACACAATAAAAGCCTCAGGGGTACATCTGCTACATATCACTACATGGTTAGGCAATCTGTAATAACCGTTCACTCATTAAATATGCTTCATCGAAAGTCAGGATCCGGAGACGCGCAGGCTTGTACATGTATCATTGTATGCGATATATGAAACTGTAGCTAAGTCACTGATACTAAGTGTGGGACTAGAGTGGGACAAATGGCCAATTTATACTGTCTAAAGACAATCCGTCGTTAATACAGTTGTGTACGATGTACATTTCGTTATTCTGCCATGTGGTGCATTTACACCTGGTGATGACTTTGTTACACTTACAAAGTTTTGGTGGGGCGATTTTTTCTTTAATTCATGGTTGAAGAAAGTCCATCAAATCAGATTGTATCAACACGTCGACGACCTGTTTGTATGTTTTGTTTACCGACCACAAAGCTACTGTTTATCTACTCAAACTTTTACTTTTATGGTCCTTCACTTCCAAGCAACCGTGGCGAAAATTTAGGTCACTCATGCATATATATAAACGCCTTTAATATGTAAAAAAAAATATCCAATGGAATTAAATGATCGCTGGTTCTTTCTGCCTCGGTAGAAGGGTATGGATGAAAATGTTCCGTTGTGTTACAGAAGACAATCTTGTCTTATCGGGACTAGGACGCATAACGGGGCACACATCCATTACAAGGTACGTCAACTTCTGTTACAAAACCAACTACGATACACATAAATATACTCTCTACTTTGGATATTCTAGATCTCTACCTTTTCTTTGCCACATACCGATCGTTTTTGAAATACACAGTGATCAAAGAATTCTAAGCTACTTAAGTTCTGCCCTAATCAGCAAAGTTTTCAAGATTTTACTGTACTCTAGACGACAGAAACTTACAAAATCGTCTCGAATAGACTCTAGCACATCGCTCACGAATATACTAGTATTCATTCTGTTCCTGCCTCGCGATTGAAGAAAATTATCCTCCATGGGGTCGGTTGGAGATAAAGGTTGTTTATTCTCAGCCGACACAGCGCTGCGTTTACTGCACACACGTACTAACATAGCACAACTCACCCGCGGCGCAAGGGGAAAACCTGGACACGGCGATAGCGAGAAGAAGCGGCAGTAGAAACGTCTCTAAGCGGGGAGCCATCCCGCAAGGTGCCCGACTTTTCGTCGTCGTTACGACGTCAGTTAAGTCCAGCTTTTTTTTAGTCTCCTAAACCACCTCCAACACAACCGATCCAAGTCCCGGGAGAAAGCACTTCTAAAGCCGCGCAGAGCAAGTGTCCTGGGCGTTGCCCCACTAAGGTGGCAGTTGACATGTGATAAATGTGCTTTCTAGAGCAAACATGGGCGGATCCTTAATAACGGGCCGACTCTGTATTTGCTGAACGTACAACAAAAGTGGGCAAGTGTTGACTTTGGGGCGTGCCTACACGTCACCGCCTAATTGTTGACATGGCGCTAAAACCGTCATTGTGTCTTCTAAAGAATGTGTGGTTTAGGGCGATACGCTGGGTCAATGAGCACGTGCTATCGTCTGCGTCAAGGACCGGCTATAAAAGGTTTTGTGCCGCAGAAATGACTCTTCTGCCCACACGTATAAATCAATCGTGTTAAAACGATGTGGGAAAAGCTCACGCCCTGAGAAGCGAAGAATGCGGTTTATCTTGCTGTAACCTGGGTTTGTCGATAGGGCAAAGGGCGTTTCTTTCACACGACAATGATTAGAAATAACTATGTGCTTGGGTAATTATTTTATGGCTTATCAATTCAACATTTCGTACCCGAACAACTTAGGACTGCATTTATAATGATAAGAATTGGCCCAAGTGGCCCCGAACAACTTAGGACCGCATTTATAATGATAGGAACTGCCCTAAGTGCTGGCCTTGAGATTGAAAGATAATGTCATATTTGTACAGCTTTCTAAGATGAACTGTGGCAAGAACAAGCCACAGTACTGCAGACCGTACCGCTCAACAGATAACATTTCACTTCACTTCTGCATACATTTTTTCTTATGGAAATGTATCAAGACCAACAGAAAAAAATGTACTTACGGCAGAAGGATTCGTTCCTCCAGGAGTCAACCGTGATTCCGAACGCGTGGCAGGCTGCGACGTAGGCCTCTACGTTCTCACAGAGACGCTCGACGTCGCCGTCGTACGCGCAGACGTCATAGACGCAGCTTTCGTAGAACTGAGTCGCGTTCACGACGCCGTGACAGGCCTGGAAGTCGTTCAGGATAATGCCGCACCACTGGTCGCCCTGGACGGTGGCTTCTAGTGCTGGTTCGCAGATAGGGTCGGTTGTTTCCACTTCCTCGGGGCAGCTGTAAAAGACACATCATAGATTAGAAAAAAAGACCAGAAATGCAATACATGTGTGTAAAGAGAAATTTTAACAATGATATTTACGGGGAACCCGCTCGATAAACCCCTAGGTTTCATGGGTTGTCCCGCACATTTCGTTGTACATAATTAATTTACATATTGATGTGTTTTAAGTACAAACTGACAGTAAAAAATAAACAAAATGTATACCATTGTATAGAAATTTATAGACGTATACCAGTTCCCACAGCACTTAGAATTATCTCTGTTATTTGGCATTACAACATAAGTACTTACGTGTCGTCCACCACCTTCCAGCTGTTTCCTAACTCAATCACGGTACTGGCCATGGTTCCATTGGGCTTCAACATGTCATCGGATACAACACCGTTGAAGTTGCCACACAGGCCCTGCGTAACGTTGCGGTACGCTGGCGGTACGACGACTTCTAAGCGATGGTTTCCGTCGAAGGACACCCTGAGGCCGAAGCTTGTGCTGAGCACGACGTTGGTTCCACTGAGCCTCACGCTGATGCCTTCTGTCAAGCTGACTGG